CCAGCTCTGCAGAGGGACCTGGATGCCCAAGTCCCAGGGACACCAGCTGTAATTAGATGTTTAGATCTAGGCCAGGGGCTCAAGGGCCATCTGGCACCTGAATTATTCATACACTTTTATCTAAGCACAGGCAGAGCAGAGCACAGCGCTCCTTCTCCAGCCTGGGCCCAGGGGAAGATTCCTGCTTGTGCCAGATCGTTTTTCATGGCCTGACAAATGTGATCCTCTCCAGAGCTCCTTCCCAGTGCTGAGATGCCTTTTCCCAGCGCCAAACCTGCCCCAAAACACACCAGAGCTGCCAAACAGAGATCCGTGCAGATCCACAGAGATCCACAGCCCCGGCAGCTGATGCGGAGGTGGAAAAATCCAGGAGGAGAAGTCTCCCCTTGGAAGGAGCAGTTCAGGAGTGAAATCAGATTAAATGTCTATCAGGAGGGCCCGTTCCTGTGGTGATGTGGCCCAGTGCTCCCCCCCAAGGTGTCTTTTACCCTGTGACTCATCTGCTGAGGAATTTTAATCCCTGTCTTTCTCTCCCAACCCCAGGCACCATTGGGAAGGGGAGAGGACCTTGGAGACAGAAGTCTCTCTATCACTTGTTGTTAAAGCGATGCATTTCTTCTTCAGCCATGGAGCTGTGCCAGGTTTTACCAGATGTAAGTGAAAAATTTCAGATGAAGCTGAAATATGGCATATTATGGTTTTCTGTGCACTTTTCTCTCATCTCGTTGAGTGATTCCTCAGCTCCTCTGAGCAAGCTGGGCTAGTGCAAGGTACCCCTACCCAGGAACAAAATGAGCTTTAAGGTTCCCCCAACCCAAACCAGTCTGGGGTTCCATAATCCTACAGACACAACTGGAGATGCAGGACAGGAGCTGGAAGGGAGGGATCACTGCAGGGGATGTGGGGGCATCTGATCCAGACTGCAGTGATGCTTTCTTCTTGTACACTGGGACATTCTGCTCCCCAAAACACGCTGGCTGCTGGCTCTCACTCCTCAGTCAGCTCCAAAACCCCTTCTAGCAGCTCTGGGAGGGAGGTGTGGCTGTGAAACCCATGGAAAGGGTGCTCAGGCCAGCCCAGGGAGGTTTGGAGTGCCCATCCCTGGAGGTGGCACCCAGTGCTCTGGGCTGGTGATCAGGCACAGGTCAGACACAATAATCTTGGAAGGCTTTTCCAACCTTGGATGATTTCACAATCAGCCATTTACCCACCACTGAAACCCTCCCACGACTTCAGGGTGCCAAAAGATGACAAGGCAGGGACAGCCACAGCTAAAAAATCCCATTCCATCCTCCCTGTGCTGGATTAACTCCTGGGAGAGATGGGATTTTTGTGGGGTGACACAAAGATATAAGGGCACTGCACCCAATGAGGGAACATTGTACCTCCTGCTCTCCTGATTTCCAACACTCGTGATGGGATTGTCACACATGATCCAGAGGAGCTGCAGCATCACAGTTTTCCATCAGTCCTTCCCACTCCAGGGAATTCCTCCTCAGCAACTCCTGGATCTCGATGTGTTCACATGGCAGACAAAAAAAGAATGACTGGATAATTCTCCAGTTAGCCCTGGGGAGTGAAAATGGCAATTAGGAGGGTGAAATTGGGGTTTGGGGGGATCAAACTGGGGTTTGGTGGGGTAAAATTGGGGTTTAGAAGGTGAAACTAAGAGTTTGGAGAGTGAAATTGGGATTTGGGGGTGAAACTGGGAGTTTGGAGAGTGAAATTGGGGGTTGGAGGGATCAAACTGGGGTTTGGTGGGGTAAAACTGGGGTTTAGAAGGTGAAACAGAGTTTGGAGAGTGAAACTGGGGTTTGGGAGTGAAACTGGGGTGTGGCGGCGTGAAATTTGGGTTTAGAATGTGAAACTAAGAGTTTGGAGAGTGAAATTGGGGGTTGGGGGTGAAACTGGGGGTTTGAGGAATGGTATTAAAGTTTGGAGAGTGAAATTGGTGTTTAGGGGGATCAAACTGGGTTTTGGTGGGGTCAAATTTGGGTTTAGAAGGTGAAACTAAGGGTTTGGAGAGTGAAATTCCTGTTTGGGGGTGAAACTGGGGGTTTGAGGAATGGTGTTAAAGTTTGGAGGGTGAAACTGGGGTTTGGTGGAGTGAAATTGGAGTTAAGAAGGTGAAACTAAGAGTTTGGAGAGTGAAAATAGGGTTTGGAGGTGAAACGGGTTTGGTGGGGTGAAATTTTTATTTGGAGGAGAAATTGCAGTTGTGGGAGTGAAATTGGAGTTTGGAGGGCGAAATTGGGGTTTGGGGGATCAAACTGGGGTTTGGTGGGGTGAAATTGGGGTTTAGAAAGTGAAACCAAGAGTTTGGAGAGTAAAATTGGGGTTTGACGGTGAAACTGGGGATTTGTGGAATGGTATTAAAGTTTAGAGGGTGAAATTGGGGTTTGGGGGGGATCAAACTTAGGTTTGATGGGGTGAAATTGGGGTTTAGAAAGTGAAACAGAGTTTGGAGAGTGAAATTGGGGGTTGGAGGGATCAAACTAGGGGTTTGTGGAATGGTATTAAAGTTTGGAGGGTAAAATTTGGGTTTGAGAGGATAAAGCTGTGGTTTGGTGGGGTGAAATTGGAATTCGGAAGTGAAATTGCAGTTGTGGGGGTGAAATTGGAGTTTGGAGGGTGAAACTGGGGTTTGATGGGATCAAATTGGAGTATGATGGGGTGCAATTAGGGTTTGTGGGTTGAAATTAGGGTTTGTTGGCACAAAATTAATGTTTGGGGTATGAAAATAGGGGTTTGGGATAAAAATCAGGATCTGGAGGGATGAAATTCATGCTTGGGGAAGAAATTAGGATTTGGGATATTGGGGTTAGGGTTTGGGAGAATGAAATGAGGGTTTGGTGGGTGAAATTAGGTTACAGGGGATGAAATTAGGATTTAGGGGGTGAAATGAGTGGTTGGAGCATGAAATTGGGGTTTGAAGGATGGAATAAGAGGGGGTTGTGGATATTAGGGTTTGGGGTGTAAAATCAGAGTTTAGGCAGGACGATTAAAGCTTGGGGGATGAATTTTGGGTTTGGGTGGAGAAATGAAGGTTTGGAGTGTGAAATTGTGGGTTGGGGGAATCCAGCTTGGAGGGTTGAGGGTGAAATTGGAGTTTGGCTGTTGAATTTATGGTTTTATTGGGGGAAATTGGTGTTTAGGGGGATGATTTATGGGACTGTAGGATGCAGGGGCAGCAGTTCCAGCAGGGTTGTTGGATCCAGCCCTGCCCCAGCTTTCTCCCCATTTGAACATTTATTTTTCTCATCTACATTTTCCACAGGCAGAGCAGAGCAGGAGGAAGAGGAGGAAACACCCAGGGCCACAGGTGGCAGCAGGATCCTCACAAAATATAGGGAATATAAAGGTTTCTTCACAAAATACAGGGACTACAGAGGGATCCTCACAAAATACAGGGAATATAAAGGGATCCTCAAAAAATATAGGGATTATAGAGGGATCCTCACAAAATCCAGGGAATATAAAGGGACCGTCACAAAATACAGGGACTACAGAGGGATCCTCACAAAATACAGGGAATATAAAGGGATCCTCACAAAATACAGGGATTATAGAGGGATCCTCACAAAATATAGGGATTATAGAGGCATCCTCACAAAATACAGGGACTATAGAGGGATTCTCACAAAATATAGGTTTTATAGAGGGATCCTCACAAAATACAGGGATTAGAGGCGCTCCTGCTCCACGGGAGCCGGGATTCCCTGACCCTGAGGCTTCCTTCAACTCAAACCTAACCCGAACTTCTTCCTCATCTCTGGGAACCTCTGAGCTCCAACTTCCCAAGGAAATATGGGACTGCGGGTGAGCGCAGAAATGTAGCAGCATAACCACTGTGATGTGAAGCTTTAAATGGGAAATATTTCAATCGGTTTGCTGGCCCCGAGCAAGGAGTGACGGTGTTTTCAGACACTCCCTGCATTACGCAGGGCTCCACACCGGGCAGAGCAGGGCGGGCCCGGCCCCGGGGAGCCGCAGGGAGCTGCGGGGCTGCCGCATCCACCGGGAGCGCCTCCTTGCATTGCCTGGCGCAGACACCCACAGGGAAACAGGGAGAGGGTAAGGCAGGCACTGAATGCAGCCGGGCTCCCTCCTCTCTCCCCGCGGTGGGTTCAGCCCAGCCCGGTATGGGCAGTGGCGGGCTGAGGGCAGGGACACAGAGCACTAGCGCACGTCCGCTCTGCACCGCGGCAAGCCGCGCTCTGAGCCCTCAAGCGCCGCCGCACTGCGAGCTCTGCCGAGGAACGCCTCTCTCCCCGCAGCGACCAATCAGAGCCAGAACAAGCTTGATTGATTTTTGTCCTAGCCAATCAGCGCTCTGTCTATAAGCACCCAATCAGACGCCTGGGGACGATTTCTCGCCCAATGATAAACCAGGAACGGAGTTGCGGGGTGGGGCGCGCTTATTCGTGAGCGGCGTAGGGATTAACCAATCAGATCAGGGCAATATGTTGACTACTGACCAATGAGCAAATGAGGCGGGGACAGAGGGACTCGCGAGATTTTGAGAGGTACGATGGGAACTCATATCTAAGCGAGAGAGCCAATGGCAAAGGGCAGGGCGGGGCCGCAGAACCATTATTGTAACTGGCAGGTAAGCGAGCCAATCAGAAGGCGGAACTAAGTTCGACCCAGTGTTCAATGGGCAGCGAAAATCCTCCCATAGTTGACCAGCCACGATTGACAGGTAGGGTTCTCCAATGAGATCGCCGCGCCCTTTCTAACTGCCCAATAAGCGAGCGGGGCTGGGAGGCGCGCGACGGCGGCAATTCCCGCCCCCCCCCCGCGGGAGCACGGGGCTGGCTGTCAGACCGACAGCGCAGCGAGCCAATGGGAACGCGTAGCGCCAGGAGGTGGGCGGAGCATCCCCGAGACGCCAGCCAATGGGCGAGGGCGCCGCCCTGAGCAGCCAATGGGCGCGGGGGGGGCGGCGCGCGCTACCGGCGCGGCTCGCAAGATGGCGGCGGGTGCGTGAGCGGGGCGGTCGGGGAGGCCCGGCGGGAGCGCGGCCGCCGCCGCCATGAAGGGCAAGGAGCGCTCGCCCGCCAAGGCCAAGCGCTCCCGGGGCGGCGAGGACTCGGCGTCCTCCTCCTCCTCCTCGCGCGGCAGCAAGAAGCCGAGCGGCTCGTCCGGCGGAGGCGGCGGCTCCAACGGCGGGAAAGCGGCGGCGGCGTCCGGCGAGAGCAACAGCGGGAGCGGCCGGCGCGGCGCCCACGCGGACAAGGGCGGCCGCGCCGGCAGCCGCGAGTACGAGAGCGGTTCGGCGGCGGCCGCGGGCGGCGGGGGCCGGCACGGCTACAGCGGTAAAACCGCGGAGGCGTCGCGAAGCAGCGGCAGCCGCGGCGGCGAATCGCGAGCGGCCGCCGCCGCCTCCTCCTCGTCCTCCTCGTCGGAGCCGGGCGGCGGCGAGTACAAGACGCTGAAGATCAGCGAGCTGGGCTCGGCGCTGAGCGACGAGGCGGTGGAGGACGGGCTCTTCCACGAGTTCAAGCGCTTCGGAGACGTGAGCGTCAAGATCAGCCGGCTCCCGCCCGGCGCCGGCGCCGCCGACGAGCGCGTGGCCTTCGTCAACTTCCGCCGGCCCGAGGACGCGCGGGCCGCCAAGCACGCCCGCGGCCGCCTCGTGCTCTACGACCGCCCGCTCAAGATCGAGGCCGTCTATGTCGGCGGAGGCAGCGGCCGCCGGCGCAGCAGCCGATCCCCGGCGCTGCTGGACAAGGAGTCTCCCTACGGCACGGCGGCGGTCGGGGCGGTGGCGGCCGCCGTGCGGCACCCGCCGGCCGGGGCCGCGCAGCGAGCGCTGTCCCCGGCGGGCAGCGGAGGAGCTTTGGGATACCGGGACTACCGGCTGCAGCAGCTCGCCCTGGGCCGGCTCCCGCCGCCGCCGCCGCTGCCGAGGGAGCTGGAGAGGGAGCGGGACTACGGCGGCTTCTACGAGGCGCGGGTGCGGCCGGCCTATGGGCTGGAGCGCGTGGCCGGTGTGGCGGCGGCCGGGGGGTTCCGCGGAGGAGGAGGAGGAGGTGCCGGAGCGGCCGCCGAGGAGGAGATCAGCCCCGAGGATGACCAGAGAGCCAACCGCACGCTGTTCCTGGGCAACCTGGACATCACCGTGAGCGAGTCGGACTTGCGGCGAGCGTTTGACCGTTTCGGGGTCATCACTGAGGTGGACATCAAGAGACCGGGGCGTGGGCAGACCAGCACCTATGGGTTTCTTAAGTTTGAGAATCTGGACATGGCGCACCGGGCCAAGTTGGCCATGTCAGGGAAGGTGCTGCTGCGCAACCCCATCAAGATCGGGTACGGCAAAGCCACCCCGACCACCCGGCTCTGGGTGGGCGGCCTGGGGCCCTGGGTGCCCTTGGCTGCCCTGGCCAGGGAGTTTGATCGGTTTGGCACCATCCGCACCATCGATTACCGCAAAGGGGATTCTTGGGCCTATATCCAGTACGAGAGCCTGGACGCTGCCCAGGCAGCCTGCACCCACATGCGGGGTTTCCCCCTGGGGGGGCCGGATCGCCGGCTCCGCGTGGACTTTGCCGACACGGAGCATCGGTACCAGCAGCCCTACCTGCAGCCCCTGCCCTTGCCGCCCCCGGCTCATTACGAGCTCGTGGCGGAGGCGGCTGCTTTTGGGGCTCACCGGGGAGCCCCCCCTGACCCTCTACGGGGGGCCCGGGACAGGACGCCACCGTTGCTCTATAGAGACCGTGACAGAGACCTTTATCCTGAGACAGAGTGGGTGCCCCCGCCGCCCCCTGTGCGGGACCGGAGTAATCGGGCAGCTGCCTATGACCCACTGGAAAGCCTGGAGCGCCGCCGGGATGGGTGGTCCTTGGAGCGGGACCGCGGGGAGAGGGAGCTGGGCAGTAGCAGTAGGGACCAGCCTAGGAAACGGAGGCTGGCTGAGGATGGAGGCCGGCACTTGGACCGTTCCCCTGACAGCGAGCGCTCCTCTTCCTCCCGAAAGCGCCATTGCTTGGCCACGACCTCTCCCCCAGACCGCAGCCCCGAGCTCCTGGGAGGCCGGGAGCGTTACAGTAGTGACGCTGAGCGCTCATCCCGCTTGCTCCTCTTGGAGCGACCTTCCCCCATCCGGGAGTCCCGCCGGGGCAGCCTGGAGCGGGGGCAGAACGAAAAGCGCGACCGCAAAAATTCCGCAGAGCGGGAGCGCAAGCATCGCGCCGCTGCCGCCGCTCAGGAGTGCAAAAGTCCGGCCAAAAAGGACGAGCGGGCAGCAGAGGGTGGTGGTGGAGGCTCCCGGCTCAAACCTCCTCCCCAAAAACAGCAGCAGGATGGAGCAGCGCAGGCCGGGGCGGCGCCCAAGCTGTGCTTGGCTTGGCAGGGGATGCTCCTGCTGAAGAACAGCAACTTCCCGTCCAACATGCACCTGCTCCAGGGGGACCTCGGAGTCGCCAGCAGCCTCCTGGTGGAGGGAGCGACTGGTGGGAAAGTGGCTCAGCTCAAGATCACCCAACGTCTCCGTCTGGACCAGCCCAAGTTGGACGAGGTCAACCGGCGCATCAAGGTGGCGGGTCCCAATGGATACGCCATCCTGCTGGCCGTGCCCGGCGCCTCCGACAGCCGCCCCGCAGCCGGGGCTGCCGAGGCCGCCACCACCTCCACGCAGAGGCCGCTCAGGAATCTGGTGTCCTACCTAAAGCAAAAGCAGGCTGCTGGGGTGATCAGCCTCCCTGTAGGGGGGAACAAAGACAAGGAGAACAGCGGGGTCCTGCACGCCTTTCCGCCCTGCGACTTCTCCCAGCAGTTCCTGGACTCCACGGCCAAGGCGTTGGCCAAATCAGAGGACGACTATCTGGTCATGATCATTGTCCGTGGGGCATCCTAAGGCCCTCGTGTTCTGTTCCCAACCCTGCCTACTCCTCCATGCAGCCCCTCCAGCGTGTGCCAGGTGCTATGGGATACAGCCTTAGCCAGCCCTGTCGTTATTTTAAATAGATCTTTGTTTGTAGGTGACTTTCCCGGGCAGATTTTCTGTTACTACATTTTTCTATAAAGATAGAAGCCAGAGAGGTTGGTTAGGAGTAGTGTGAATAGGATATTTTGAGAATTCCCTATCAATGGGGACAGCAGGGAGGCTCAGCCTGCTTTGATTTACAGAAAATAGAAAAATAATAAAAACTGGGGGAGGGGGGGGAGGGGGGTAAAAGAAAAACTCCTGTCTTCTTAATTTAGATTCATGTCCTTTTTTCATTTCATGTATTTTAAAGCAAATCCCAAGAGCTCGTCCTCGAGAGAGCTCCATACCGAACAGACCAGATTTAAAGCACTCAGTGGAAATGGAAAACCATAACTTTAATAACAGACTGGTGTCACCTCCTCTTTTGAATCCTTAAAATTCCTCGTGGGCCTCAGGCCAGGGGCCCTTTGGGATCCCTTCCCTCGGGAGCCGCAGTGGTTTCCCCGTTGAGTCGCGTGGCTCAAGGTCGACGTTTTTCAGGTGAGCAGCAGCTGCTCTCTCGGGTACACAGCAGAACACTGAATTCCTTTTTGGAAAGGGATTCCTTTTTCATCCAGCCCCCCCAGGTGCATGCACTGAAACTGGGCTTTTTAACAGGTGTATTTCCCTGATTTCCTGGTGTATCCCATTTGTGCACTTTGGGTTTGTAGCAGTGGCTAGGTTTGGTGAAGAGCTGAGGACTTTGTTGCAAACCAGGAATGTCTTGTGCTCACTCTGGTGTGCAGGAAACAAGGAGGTGCTTTAAGGAGAACTTGAGTTCTATTGTGGGGTTTTGGTTTTACTGCCTTTTTGTTGTTGTTGTTTTGTTTTGTTTTGTTTTGTTTTGTTTTCTAAGAGTTGCAGGTTCAGTGGGGTCTGGTTCCACAATGCAAACTGAGCAAGTAAGTGCTTCTCTCCAGAGATGCTTTTCATTCTGTGATAATTTAATTACATAAAAGTTCTCATTAACATTTTACCTCTTTGTTAATAGCAAGGAACTGCTGTCTGCTAGGGACTTTTCAGGTACAGTGTGCAGTGGGCATTACATGAGGTTTATCATGGGCACCTAGAGTAAAGTGGTTTTAGCATCCTGGAGAAATATTAAAAATACTGTGAGATGCTGAGGTTTGAGCTCTTGTTCTTGTGATTCAAGGATGAAACAGTTTGCAGGTTGGTTTTTTTTTTTTTTCCAAAGAACATAGTTAATTTTTTCTTATTTTTCCCCAATCATTGGGCACTTTTCTCCAGCTGTCTCAGCCACCTTTGGTAATTCAGGCATTTAGGAGGGGAGAAGGGATCTCAATCCCTGAAGTGATGATCTAATTCCATGATACTCTGTTTAGCAGTCAAAAGGATGTTGCAGCAGCTTCTAAACTGAAGTGTAAATCTCTCTGTATCTCTTTACAGGCCCTAAAATTGTAATCTTGCACTTAAACCCAGAATGTAATCTTGCACTTAGCCATGTTTTCAGGGATTTGGGCAACAGAGAAGTGACACTGCCTCTCTTGGTCCATGCTCCAGTAGATTCCTTGGATAATTGATACAGGCATGAGTTGATTTCTGTTACAACTTGCATGGCAAAAATCAAATTCAAAGTGTGGAATAGGATGCGAATAGGAGACGAAGGAGGAAATGTCTTGAATGTATTTTATGGGTGTAACTGAACTTGCTTGAGTTTCTGTCACAAAAATAGGAATTTTTGTTACTGCACCACTTGTCAGAGAGGGCTGTGGTTTAAGAGGGCTTTGGTTCCTTTATTTGCCCAGAATGAGTGGACCCAGCATCCCAAACATTGTGGTGAACTGAGAATTCCAATGTGACAGCATCTCTTAAACACAGATTTTGTTTTTTATACCTGCTTTTCTTTCTAAATGAAAAGGTGAAAGCCTCATTTAATGCTCTTAAATTTGAGAGTAAAATCCAGAATTTCTGGGTTGTCCTTCAATGTGAATGTAAGAGATGGCAGAATTCAGCTGTTCAGCTTCCTATTAACAAGGAGAATTTTTGGGAATGACACCAGAAATGCAAATCACTGTGTTTAAGAAGATACAGCGTGTTTACCACTTATTGCAAAGAATGTTTTAATTGGAGCAGGTGCCTGTTGTGTGTCAGCAGGTCATCAATGCTGCAAGTGCTGCTTGCATTCAGAGGGAGTTTTCTGGGAGATTTCTGTCATCTGACAGAAATCACTTGCAAGAGTTTTCTAGGAAAGAGACTTGAAACAGCTGAGAATTTAAATCTGCCCAAAACTGGGGGGAAAAAGCACTAAAGTTTGTGTTGGACACTGAGAGCAGCATTTGTTCCGCTGATCTGCAGCAGGCACCTGCCTAAAAACCCGTAAAACTTGGGGTCAACATAGTTTGTAAAGCCAGTTTGGTTTGGGAAGCCTTTTGGGAAGAGCATGCTAGGTGCACTTCCATTTTTCCTTTTGGGAAATCACAGTGGTTCCGCCTGCCAGTGGCTGTGAAATTGTGCTGTGCTGGAGGGCGAGGAGGAGCAGGCGAGGCCGTGTTTGACTCCAGGTTTTCTGGTTCCTTATTTCATGGGGCACCTGCTTCCTTTGAATCTGGTTTATTTGTGGTTGCTGCTCTGTTTTGTAAGCAAAGATTTTAACACCCTTTGAGGGTTCTTGTGGCAAAACTTTGAGAGGTTTTTTTTGCCAGCACTGAATTCCCGTGGTGCCATTCTGGCTGGGCGGGCTGTGCTTTCCTCCTTGGTCTGAGGTGTTCCCCATTGGAGTAGCTGTCCACTGAAGCTGGCTGAAGGTTTAGAAGCCTGTGGGTGATACCACTGTGTGCAGAGCAAACCAGATGTAGCAGTTGTTGGCTCTCTCCTTGTGTCTGGCATTAAGTTGCTCTGGTGAGAGCTCAGTATTCCCTCCTGACCTTGTGTGCAGCTGATGTTCTTCTATTTCATGAGTGTGTTGAATTAGCCTGGAAAAAGGATGTGCTTTTCCTGAATCATTTCATCCTTGTGCTTTATGCTTTGGGGAAAGAACCTCAAACGACTCGTGGTTCTGTTTGAGATTTTAGTTTGTTGTTTATTTCTTTCGATTGGAAACTTTGCGCAACTTCCTTGGCCCCTGGCCAGTGGCTTTGTTTGCCACGGGAACACTGAGGTTATCCTCAATCCAGAGGTTTTAGGGGCAAAAATACCAACACATCCTTGTCAGCCTCCCAGAGAGAAAAGGGCATTATTGCCAGGCAGACAAACCTTGCCCTCTCTCTCTTTTCTTTCCTTCAAGGATTTTAAAGATGGAATATTTCGGTGACAACTTTCTTGGCCTCTATGGAGAGCCAAGTTTTACGAAGAAGAGTTTTAATTTCTTGTGTGGGTTTGGAACCCTCTGGTTGATGGTAACTGAGGTGAAAGGCCTGAGGTGTTAATGAGGAGGAGGAGTGAATCAAAATTGTGAAGACAAGTTCAAAAACTCTGAGGACTCAGGGAAAAATGCCTTGGAAAATGATAGTTCCTGGCTCTAAGCAAAACAGTGTTGAGGGCAGCGCTCCTGGGGAGTGCTGTGTGCCCAGAGGGGAAGAAATGGATGCCATGTGGCTCTGGAGCTTTTGGGGTTCTTTCCCCTTTGTCCCCCTGTTTATTTCTTTATAGCACTGAAGGACAGATATTCCAATGATTGGTAGACTGAACGATGAGGTGATTTTTGTATCAGGCTTAAAGCAGACCGGGTGGTGCAGAGAATGGTTCGTTGAATATTCATCCTCCTGCAGTTCCCATTGTGTGAAAACGATGGCTAGGAGATATGACTCGAATAGTAACAATTTTAAATTTTATTGGGTGTGTCTTTGATTTGACCTTTTAATATTGGCATTGTCTGCTGTTAGAACTGCACAGCAGAGTGAGAGCAAAAAGAGCTGTGTAACACTACATTTCATGGTTTTGTTGATAAGTTGCCTTCAGGAAATACCCAGTGAGGAAAGTCAACCGAATTAACAAGAATTAGGTTGGTTTTTCTCCTGGTTAATGATTTCAATGTGCCCCAACAAATGTTACTGCAAGTTGAGTAATCATCAGTACTGTAAGCCTAGTTTTATCCTGGTCCAAAAAGAAGCCCCGCACTACTTGTTTTGCATCTATCCCTAGAAGGCAACTTCATTCCGAGGTTTCATGCCCATGGGTGGTATTGGTGCTTTTAAAGTCCAAGTAGAATATTCAGAAAGGCCTCGTAGCTCTTTATGTTCATCTGTATAATGTAGGGAGGGGGAAAAACCCAAATCTGGTGTACACATTTGTATTGAAATAACGTTTTTTTTCCTCCTGCAAGCAAATCTGGTGGACTGCAGAAGACAACAGCATGGGATACCAAGCTCTAATGGACCTTTGGGAAGAGAAGCTGTGGCTTATGTGGAATTTACATGGGCCTCCTGGTGGAAGAAAGCTTATCTGTTTAGTATTTGTGCATTTTACTAAAATGGCAGCTTTAAAAAAAAAAAAAAAAGTTGTGTATCTGCTATTGTGATGCCAATGCCCGTGTTTTAAGTGGAAAAAAAAAAATGACCTCTTTGCTTTGTGCTGTGTACACAAGATTGCTGGAAAAGTAAAGGAATACCCTTTTTATGGCTCACACAGCTTAAAAGTAGCTGTCACTCAAACATGCGCTCACAGTTGAGCTGATTTTGTTTCATTCTAAATAAATTGTTTCTTTTGAGGAAAATGGTTTTTCTGCCTGGAAGTGAATTGACGACAAACGTTTGGCCACCCCTGTGTTGGCAGCGGAGGGGTTCCTGCTGCTGCTGCCCAATTGAGCTGATAGTTGTGGGTCTTGAGCAAGAAGCAGGGAGAGCACCGACACTTTTGCCTTGATCGACCTGTGGTACCAGGCAGAAGAATTTGTGTCTGATGGCCTTGCTGTGGTGGCCCTCGTGTTTGCAGTGAAAATGGGGGCACTTTGCTGCGTTTCTCCTCAGCGGGACGGGGCACGCAAGAAGCAGGGAAGCACCACCCTGCGCCTCGGAACGGTGGCCAAGTCTGGGGCTTCGCTGGTTGGAAGAGCTGGAGTTGCTGAATTTTAAGTTTCTCTGATTTATTTTGTTCACCCAACATGTTTGCCTTTAGTTTTGATTCTTGGTTTTTTTTTTTTAAGTTTGAAGAAAAAAAAAAAGTTTTGAGATTGCTTTGAATCTTTGCACGTAAAACCTTTGCACCAAAATTGCCAAAAGAAA